AGCAAAAACACGTTATTAAACTGTTTTAATTTTGTTTTCAAAGTGAAAAATAAATTAATTTTGTTTTGATCCAACAAATTATTGGTTTTTAAAACAAAAACAAATTTTATAGTATAGAAATTATATATGATTTATATAACATAATGTTAAATAATTAAATGGAAATATGTTTTTAAAATTAGATTCAAGAACATATTTTTAATTTCAGTTTTGAAAACAAAAAATATATACACAACCAAGGACATGTTTCTTGTATTTTTGTTTTAAGAAATAATCAGATTTCAAACAGGATCGTTTTGATTTGTTTTTAGAACCAGAAACAAGAAAAATAATTCATATTCATGTTGTAGGACACCCCGGCCCTAAATGGTTTTCTGAAATTCCACAATAACTAATTGTTTGCATACTGCCCAAAATATGACTGCACTTTTAAGACGTTGAAAACAAAATCTGATGAGAGAGAATCATCCAGGAGCTTTATCTTAAGTCAGATACGTCTTCATTCCCTCCTTTACTTTTCTTTTCTTCCTTTTCCTTTTTTTGAATCGTTGAATTGAATTCCAAAGAGGGATCTATAACATTTAATATTTTGTGCTCTTAATAAACATGCTGATCATAAATGCGCATTGAAATCATGTTGAATCTCCTACCCCATATTTAATTTCTTGTTTCTATTACACTTTTTTGAATAGTCATTATAGCTGCAAATAGACAAATGAAATGAAAAATCATTTTCTTAAAATCATCACCTACCTCTCCCTCTCTCTCTCTCTCTCTCTCTATAGATCTCCTCCTTCAAATCAAACATCCACCCCTTCCTCACTCAAAAAATACACACACAGGTGGTTTTTCTTTTGAAACTTCATTTTAAAGCATATGTACATCATGGAATTCCACTCTTTCTTAAATCTAAGAAAGAATGAAATATGGTCCAATAATAGTTCACCGCCTCCAGATCATCGATCTGATAGCCCACCTTCTAGTTCTGGTTTATAATATATTGGCATGTACAGAATGCCAGTCAACATCAATGCTGTATTGCTTATTATAACTGTCTTTTTGGCCTGCGCTGAGCATGAGTTACTGAGTTAGAAGCGCTAATTTTCTGGGACGGAAGGAAGAGAATTTGGATTCAGTGTTAATAAGACCATTCTCACACCTAAGGGTGTCAATGGACCGCTTTTGGATTGGACCCCATCCGGTCCAAAATTAATTTGGATGGATTAGACGGACCAATAAGACATATTGAATTGGACTAATCCGGTCCAAAATATTTATTAGATTGGATTGGCCCTGGTCTGTCCATAACAAATTTATATCAGATTGGGTTGGATTAAGCCAATATCTGGTCCATTGATATAAGATAAGAATATATGTATGAATGGACCAGGTTTGGGTTGAAACCAATTTAAATCAAAATGAATTTGAACAGATTGGATGGTTCAGACGTTGAATTGAACCGATCCAAATTGGTCCAAAACATTCATTGGATTGGATTGGACCTGGTCCATCTATAATGGATTCACATTAGACTGGATCAGATTGGACTAAATCCAATCCAATTGACACCCCTACTCATACCATTCCAGCCTTTTACAGAGAATATCTCCATATTTGTATGTTTTTTTTTTTTTTTCATGTGGAGAGAGATTCTCAATGTAAGACCGACAAAGGACTGTATGAACGGTAAAAGCACGGTCTTGTGTGGATCAAATCCGATTTTGGGGCATTTGGTACTCCTATACATCCAGATCCAATTAAAAGAGGAAAAAACTAAGACTCCAGATCTCCTACCCGTCTTGTGGCTGCAATTTTATGTGGGCAGACGTGGACAGAATTCTTGTGGGCAGGAGATCTAGACTCTAAAACTAGATACTAGAGCAAACAACTGGAACTCTTGTGAACTGCCACCTAACTCTCGCAACTCACAACTTTTCCTCTTGCCTATGCCACTTATCAATCAAGAGTCACAAACTCCTAATATATTCCAATACTCTACTGAACATGATCTGACACCACACATTTCATACATAGTGGGCCTCATTTTTATGATGGATCATAATAAAATCTGCAGTGTTAGATCATGTTGATAAGATGTTGAAATATGTGTTATTGGCAGATCTAAACTCATCCACAAAACAACTTGGACAATTATATATATATATATATATATATATATATATATATATATATATATATATTTTATAGCTCAAAATCAACTTGGACAATTACTTGCCCACAAAGATCCAAAGCAACTCTCCTTAGGACAAACAGTACCCTAGACCCGGACCATTCGCACCTAATGCTCACCCGGTCACCCATACCAGAGCCAAAGTGCCAAGTACAAATGGTGCTGTCAAATTACAAGCGTATCATGAGAAAAGTATGTATCTTTCTATGGTGAAAGAACAAAGAAAACATTAGACTGAGGGTCTGAGCTTAGGCTCAATTTGGAAAGAGTATAAATATAAATATGTAAAATGCAAAACATTATATTTTATATTATTCTGTATATATTTGTACTGTACATATTTGCATTTGTATTCCTTCCAAATTGAGCCTTAATTAATTCAGATTTCAGAATAAACCAAAAGATCCACAAGAGTTCAAATCAGCCCCCCACAAGATAATTTCTCACAACGTCCCACAGTATATTCCTGCTATATATTAGGAACATCTCCCAGTGGTAATACTAGAAATGATGAAGCATCATCGAGAGATATTCCTAATACAAGCCAGGGATATGCTGTGAGACATTGTGGGAAACTATCTTGTGGGGGACTGATTTCAATTGGGTCCAAAACTGATCCAACCCAATTACAATAAGGACACGTAATGCAGAAGCAGAACATACATATAATTGGATTGATTCCGGTCTGTCGGGCTGACCGATCCATTAACAGCCCAAGGTACCAAGTACCAACTCAACAGACAGACACGTTCTGAGGACTGATGACCAAAATTACCAATATATTATTTAACTAGAGAAGCACAGACAGGCCATTAAATGTGTCTGTATTCGATTCGACCATTCAGTGACAGGTTCTATGGTGGTGGTTGTGTTGTCGTGGATAAGAACATCAAATTTAAGACCGTGTTTGTCCAGTTGGGGTAACTGCTAATAAGTGGCGTGGCTGAGGACTTGCTTGTTGGGATGTATTGGCTAGGATTAACCAAACCAATAACAACCGGTCCGCGATTATCTTCTCAACATATCGACGACTGTAGTCTGAATGATTTTTGAAAGGGGTAGTAGCTTTAGAAAACAAATGTGAACGACCAATCTACCAATTGTGCTTGGGTGAATGGGTGAGAGAGAGAAAAAAAATAATAAAAATAAAAAACAAATGTGAACGACCAATCTACCAATTATTTCTTAAGTTTATCTCGCTTTGCGTAGCCCAACCTACAGTTGTACCCAAAAAAATAATAAAAATAAAATAAAAACTTTGAAGTATGAGAGAGAGAGAGATTATAAACAGACTAAAATTTTGGCTGTGGCAAGTAACCCCAAGGAGGCATTCATTATAAGCTGGTAGGAAGTATTTTGGGCTGAAATTTGCCCTGTGAATTAATGGTGGTAAGAACGTGTGAAATCATTCTGGGTTCCCAATTCACAACCATATTGCCATGTACAAGATTCTTCTGTTGTTTTAGTAAATCAGTATCAAATTTATTTAGTTCAATACTTCATCATACTTTTTATTCATAAAATTTAATTGCACAAAATTTTTTGGATGAATAGTCAAAAGTTCAAAGTATCAATTTTGCAAAGAATATTAGAAAGACCATTTTAGGACACATATCAAGATTCAAGATAAACTTAAGAAATAATTGGGTATGATGGAATAATTAGAATATACATGAACGCACTAGGAAAACCTATACAAGTCCAACAAATGCCTCGATGGGACCAAATTTAATGCTTAAATGACCATAAATAAGGTATAAATATGTGAGATAATAATGAAAAAATCAAGATATACACAGATAAATACATACAATTAGGAACCAATACGAATCTAAATACATTTAATAAATATAATTTGAATCATTACTTTTTTTTTTTAGTTTTCCTAGTTGATATGGAAAGGGTATCTGTCAATACTCATCAATACTATCAACTAATATAGACCGGCACAGGTGCAATTACACATTATAATCTTCCAACTGTGCCACATGCTGACCCCATAAAAATCCAAAACAATAAACCATTTTTTAGCCGTATCATACTGATATTTTGAACCTTGTAACTAATACCCGAAGAGAGATGTTCCACATTCATCCAAATCAGAGTTGTGAGAGTTATGGTTGGAGCAAAGTTTCCTCTGACAAATGGGGGTTTCAGAGATCAATTTTGTGGACTAAAAGCAAATGTTTTAACAATTATGTTCACTATATATCTTTTTAATTCGTTTCCTCCAAACAAATGGAGTATAAGAAAGGCTGCATTTGGAACTGATGTAAAACATCATCACTTTAAAAGTGCATCGATGAGGTTTTACACCGAATCGTAAAAAAAAGTTACCGTTGAGCTTCAAAAAGCGTGAAAAAAAGTGTTGAGCTTATACATCCATAATCAATTTAAAACTTTACTTTTGATTAGGTTTTACATCCACATAAAACTCCACTCCACCTAAACAATGGCAAATCTAAACCAGAATGGAGTTTTACATCAATCTTGATTTACACCATCCAAACACTGACACCGAACCGGCATAAACTTTTACATTGATGACGTTTTATATCGCTTCCAAATGCAGCCAAAACAAACCGGAAACCTCGTGATGTAAAAAACTTATTTATTTTCCTGGTTTCTTTCAGCGGAATAAAATACCCAATGAAATGAGTAAACTTTTCCTGGATCAACCACCATCAGACTTTATGTGGTACCACTAAATCTAAATTTCACAAAACCATGATCCAGTTTTCATTATTCAATTTGACGCGGCGGAACTTAGAAACCGCCCTGAGCAGAAAATCAACATCTAACAAAATAGTGAATTTCCCGATTGATCAAGGAAGCTGTAATCATCCTTGACCATCCAAAAGAACGTTACAACTAGACAGGTTATAAACTTATAATGATCCAAATCTATTTGACAACTGAGGATGCAGACATTGCCTCAGCTACAAGTAAATCAATACAATATCCTGGAGTATGGCAAGACAAAACTAATAATTGCCTGTTCCGCAAGACTAAAAGTAAAATATAATATTCCCTCTTTACCCCCATCCCTACCCCCGCCTCCCACATTTCTTCCTGGTAGGCTAATGTGATGTACAAGCTATTTGGTCCAAAAACCAGTATTGATTTAATGACAATCATGAATGAGATGCTGAGTCCTGATGTTGGTAGTAGAATTGGTTTATAGCCTCAAATAAAAACATCCATAGTATGATAAGAGAGATGATAAGATGCTACTGCTGCTGCTAATGGTGATCACAGAACATTAAAATGTATACCAAAGCTTGAAGGAGAATATCCCAGTGGGTTGATTTGCATGTCACACGAAAAGAATGGTAACATTGAATCACCAGAGACGATTCTCAATCAAAGCAGAAGCAACTCCCTTCAGTGTCTCCTGCATAAAAAGCAAGCTCATTTTGCTTAAAACTTCTCTTTGTTGTTTAAACTTGATGGCAAATATCCATGTATTTTTCAACAATACCAGGGAGTGGTCTTTGAGTCCAAGAGAAAGCACCAATGGCTTTGAAGAACCAGAGTTGCTGCAAATGTAAAAGGCCACGTGAGGCACAACGATAAACTCATTAGAAGAAAATAGTTTCAGGGAAACTTGCTGTATTGAACACTTAAAAATCTTTTTGTTCCTTGTTTTCTGCTACTATAAGATGTAAGAAAACAACATATGCATTTATGTGTACGAGGACATGCACCTCAACATTCTAGAACTCTATAGAATTTCAAGTACTAAAATATCTTAAAGTTGAGCCTTCCTGCTGAGCAAGACAGAAAAATATCAACTTAGCCAAAGCTAAAACATACCTTATATGTTCAATCAGCTGACGTGCACATGCCATTAGCATTGGCTGAGAATTGCAGTTTAAAAGATATCATGATCTTTGCCAAATGAATGAATGAGAAAAGGAGGGGGTGCTAGCTTACCTCATCTCGTTTACCAAATATTACAGACACAGCAAAGGTTGGATGAATGGAAACCCCCTCTTCCTTCCTGATAATAAAATCTTTAAATAAATAAATGAATGAAATGGAGATAACTTTAAAAAGTCCAACCATAAAGAATAACAGAATTTCAACACATAAGATATCGGTAAATCATTGGATCAAAAAAAAAAAAAAAAAGAAATCAGTAAATCAGGTATTAGTAGCAATCATTTTGCTCTCAAAATGAATAACAAAGATTCATTGGTACAGTGAAGTGTTTTGGCGCAATGGAGGTTCAGGTCAGACAATTACAAGGACAGTGAGTGCATAATTGCAGCTAAAGAAAACATAGATGTTGGTTGCTACTGCAAATTCTCTGGATAAGCTAGCTACATTGTGGGGGTAGGGACCATTACTTGTAATGGATAAGCTACGTTAGGTCCTTGTCCAGTCCACCCCTCCCAAGACCCCAGATGGCTGGGACCAACATTGGGCAATGGGTTTTTTTAGCCACATTCTAGAAGTGATGCTGGATCTAGCCCCCCCTACCTCTTGTGTGGAATGTTTTCACTATGGGGATGATTTCAGTCATTGAAGGAGGCAGAGTGCCAAGGTTATATTGGCTTCAAACAAGAGATGGGCAGGGTGGAAGAGGATCAACAGACCATATGTGAAGAGGTGGAGGGAGCACATTCTGGTAATGATCTCCTTTTATGCTGAAGTGACCGAAAAATTGTATCAGCTGAAAGGAATAAATCTATATGTGCCTACAGGTACACTTCTAATCCTTATCCCTGAGACTCGGGAAAAAACTCTAGTTAGAGTTGTCACTATGCAAATAAGTTCTTCTCACACCGTTGTTAACTTCTGCTAATGCATCAGCTCTTAGGAATCAAGGATAAGGATTGGCTGGCAAGAAAGAGGAAATTACAGTCCAAGATCACCATTCAGTAAAGAAACCAAACTGAGGTTCGGTGGCAGCTCCTTGGGCAACTATGGTTCAACAGGGGATAGCTCAGTGTTTTAAAAGCGCAAGGTGCAAGGGCCAATTTGCGCCTGAGGCGAGAGGCGCAAGGCAAGGCATGCACCTTTTTAAAGCAAGGCACAAAAATACAAAAAAAAAGCTAAAAAAAGCCAAAAAATTCAAAAAAATGCAAAAATATTAAACATAATATTAATAAGAAATATAAACTTAATTTTTAAAATTAATGGTTTTAAAAAACCTATTAACTAAAATTAAAATACATAAACATAACATGTAAAGCATATTCAAATGAAAATTTAAAAATAAAATCAAACATATAAAACATTTTCAAGCATGTAAAGCCCACAATCTCTTTTTTTCTTCAATTGCATTACTTCAAGTAGCTAATGTGGTGTAAAACATATTACATTCCTAATTCTAGGAGTCGTCTTTGTGCCACACCCCTCGAGGCAAACCCAAACAAGTCCATATTAGGGTCTGAGAATCCCCTATTTGCTAATGTTGTTCATTCATTCATCTTAATAAAATATCTTCTTAAAAGGCAAATAAAATTATAAAATCATTATTTTTGTGTGAGAATTAAGAATTTAAGACCCTAACATGGATTTGTTTGGGTTTGCCTCGAGGGGCGTGGCAATTTTCAAAAGGTGCATGCCTGGGCCAAGGCGCAAGGCGCATCAGGCGCATGCCTAGGCGCACCGGGTGTGCGCCTTTTGAAAGTGCTGCATCTAGGACCTGGGCGAGGCGCCTACCCTAAAATGCTCCTCACCTGTGCGCCTAGGCATGCCTCAGGTGCGCCTTTTAAGTCACCGGGATAGCTGGACATGTTACCAACAAGGAAGGTCAGCCAGCATGGTTACATGGTTGACCAATTAGAGAAGTAGACACAACCATGTATGAGGTTACAGAAAGTCAAAAGCACTTTTTGGTCTTAGGATTAGGAGAAGTAGAGGTTCCCATGTTACTTTTTGGCATTAGAATATTAGTCAATTGGAGAAGTAGATGTTACCATTGATGAGGCAAAGGCTTTGCAGGAGAGTCATGAAGATTGTCTCACTTAATGAGATCACATTGCTTTTGATCTTCTGTCTCCACTATTTGGAGATGGATTCCTGGGGAGCTGAATCACATGGTGTATGATTTAGCTAGATCAGGGGTTAACAAGGATACAATGTATAGCAAGATTTCATTATAATAGAAAATTTGAACATCTATGCTTGTACAGCTTTGCAATGGGTTCCTGCCTTTTTGTTTGATGTCCATCTTGCACATCATCTTTTTGTAACCATCAATAGATTACCAATTAAATAAACGGATGATGGAAGAGTATGGATGATGTTTCTGATCTCACTCAAGCCATCTTCCAATTTCAAGGGCCCATGCCAGCACTATTGACCCACATTATAGTATAAGCCAAATCACAATGGACTATCAATAGTAGAAGTTGTATTCTTTTGGCTATCCTAACCCATGAGGAGGGATACCTCAGCTTTACTAGTGTACACATATCCAATAGGACTGCTGAAAGCACAAATGGCATCTGTCTTAATCAGAGAATAGTACTCCTATTTGCAGCCAGACCTGGGTTAGCTTGTTTTCTGCCATCAAGTCTAATATGATGTCTGGGCCACTAATCAGATAATAGTGATGGAGGGGGCACTGTAGGATGTCTACAGGGTTTCTACAAAGAACAGTGAGAGAGGCTTGTTTAATTTTTTCGGTATCAAAGCCACTGAATTAATGAGAAAGAGCACATTCTTAATAACGAATTCAAATTATGATGCTCTTGCTTCAAAAATATGACCATTCTCTCCTAGCACACTCATTTCCAACTAGGGAATGGGTTTCAGTATTGAATAAGATTAGGCATATTCGGCAAAATGAAAGTGCAGGATTGAATTTCTATTAATAAGGTAGTTGATACTAGTAAACAAAAACAAGTAACAATACTAATAATAAATTTTTATGGAAGGTGACAATCAAGCAAATGAGTTTACAAGGCATCATAATAAAAGAGACAAAAGAGAGATTGACCAAGAAGCTCCTGTATTTAAGAAAAAAGGTAAGGGGGCACAAGGCAGTAGGGAAGGCAGGGAGGAGAGGAGCTGTTCAAACCTCTGTTCATGAGTTGCCTAGTTGGTTTTTAATTCCAGGAGATCGTTGGGTCGTTTTGGTTTTTTTTGTATGTTCTGTCTGCATAGCAGATTTTTGGGGTGGGTTTCCTTTGGTTCCTGCTAGATTGGGTGGAAGTGGTGCTAGCATGGACTGGTTGAAACACTGTATTTTTTGTGTAAGATGCAACCATGGGGCTTCTTTTATTTTTATTTTTTATTGGCCATGGGGCTTCATGTTTTTCATTTGGCTTGGCTCCCTATCTTTATTTGGTTTATTTTTTTTCCCTTCTTTCCACTTTTATTCCTTTTTTTCGTAATCTATAAGTTCAAAGATGGTAAGTAATGCAAATCTTATTGAACTTGTTTTCACCTTTGATTTCTCAGCTGACCCACCATATAGAAGGCTCACACAATGCATGTGACAAAGTATCTCATAAACTTCAAATTTGGTGTCTTACATGCTAGAATGTTTGAGACAAGAAACAATTTAACTGATAAGTTAAATAATACAAGGACTGTGATTAGCAGACTCTGCATGCTTTAAACTTATCATCTAGTATGACAAAAGCCCTTCAAATCATCATGCGAAACCTCATTGAACCAATAGAAAGTGCAGACAATAGAGATTATCTGATGTAATTTAGTTATACAAGACAGTTCCAAATTAGCCACTACCTTTGCAGGACTAAAGAGGACTAAAGAACTCCTTAATAGTTTTTTTCTCTATCTATATAGCAATGGCATATGTCCCTAAAGCATAAAAACTACATGTTCTACAATCTCAGCTCAATCCATATTCAAGATAACAATGTCAAGGTCAAGTGTTTCTCCGCATGCACATTCTGCTTCAGCACCAGTGTCTTCCCACACTTCCTTACTAAAAAAAAGAATGTCTTTCCACACTTTATCAGTACCATTTCCAAAATATAGAAAATAGAAATCTCCTTTTGGTTGCTGTTGTTTCTTTCCCTTGTAAGTATGAGAGTACATTTTTTTTTGAGAAGAATGAGAGTACATAAGGTCTGCCTCTCACATAGAAAATAAATAATTTGCCAAAAGAAAAAAAGATACAAAACAAATAACAATAATAAGTAGATTAGAAAGATGGGAAATCTGGGCCTTGGCAGGTTGGTATAAGGGGATTCTCGGATTAACATTGAATGGATGGAAAGCTCCTTAATGAGCCATGAAGACTTGCTTGCTTTGTCAAAGAGGCTAGGGCATTCACTTCCAAAAGAAGAACACCCTTCTCCTAAATCTCCAAATCCGATGACTAATGGGCTTGGTATAAGCAACATATTTGGTAGGTAAAGTTCTACAATGGAAAGATTCTTTAAGATTGTTACCGCAACTAAAATCCTCCTATCAGAAAAATAGAAAACATAACCAAACCAAATTCCAGAAATAAGTCTTGAAAGTCCAAACTAAATCCATAAAGCATAAAAGGGGCATCAATACAAACTATAAAAGAAAAATGTGCATACTTGGCATGCAGTATCGTTCCCATACTTCCTATCTGAGTCACCATAACCTGAGAAAGTGTTCTAAAATATTAGAAATGTCTATAAAGGTATCTCCTGTCAAGATGAATGGGCACTTAGAACTCACAAGAAAGTAATCATCGTAGCTGCATATTATCAAATCTGTTTTGGTTCCCTGCACAGAAACAGAAATCCTGACTAGAATTTTTTTTTACAATATTTGAAGGTTACCAAATCAAGTAACCCTTCCTTTTATTGAAATTTTGAAATAAAAATTAAAAAAGAAAGAAAGAAATGCCTAGAAGCCAGGATGCGGCAAAGACAACTTCTAATGGATAAATGAAGAAAAAAACCAAAACAGGGCACATGCACACCAAGTCCTCAAATAGGCTTTAGTTCAGAAATAGGCATTACATACATGATGCACAAGAATATAATACAATGATATGAATCCACAGTGTACTTGATAATTAATCTAAACATTCTACATTCTTGGAATTTGGGCAACCTTGAATAGGCAGTTCAAAAACTATACATTTATGGTGCATCCTATAAGCTATGCAACATGCAGAGCATCTTGTCACAAGGTGACAAGGCCGGATCTATGAGACCCAACCCCCACAATGATGAGGGCTGACAGAAAAGGTCTATGAAATACTCTAAAATCTTTTAGAAGCCCCAAGAAACTTCAAGAGAGTTCAAGGAGATTCCAGTGAGCATTCTAAAAGACCCAAGAATATCATTGAAGCTTGTAGGTACTTGTACATTATTCTAGACTTGCTCTAGAGCATTCTTGTACATAAGGGTACCAAGATAAGTCTAGAAGATGGACTAGCATGTCTAGAACATTCATAGTCTATAGAATTCTTATAAGGAGGTGAAAGTGCCTATAAAAGGGGACCCCATCCCTCATTTGCATTCACCAAACAACCAAGTGTTGTATTCCCTCACTTGAGTAATACAAAGAGTTCCTTTGAGCTTTTCTAACATCTTGCTTGTGTGTGCTTTGTATCTAAGTGCTTAAGTCTGTTCGACTAAGTTGGTGAGCGACTTGGTCCTAGAGCGAGGAGTGCGCTCTAAGTGAAAAAGGTTGACTTGTGGAGTAGAGAAGTGCTACACAAGTACTAAACACGACCTAGAGGAGTCTAGGGGCATGGCAATCTGCTCAAAAGAGATGTTTTAATTTTTCAAAAAAGTCAAGAACAATTTGGGCAATGGACTATAATTGGTTTAGAAGCATAGGAAAAGAAATGCTTAAATCAGATGATAAAGGTCCCTTTCCAAAAGCAACATTTTTGCTGCAGATATGACATTAAAGAAGTACTTAACCTACCAGGGCCACTTTTACGAGCATGGGCCTGCAAAAAGATATTGCCATGTCCAGATGTTTCTGACTCTCTGATATAATTTAGCTTAGCTAGTGTCGACTTTAATGACACCAAGGTTAAGTTGACCCCTTCACAAATGGTAATAAATAGTCCTGTGGACTAGCTGCAATGGTTTTCCTGGATTTTGGTTGGGGTTTTCAGCATGGATAAAGGCATAAAGCCTCTATTAGTACCAAAAAGGTGGCTCAGTGGCGCTAAAATTTTAATCAAAACCAGCCTGCCCTATTGTCCCCTAGAAAACTGGAACCAGATTAAACAAGCACAATAAGAATTGCGCGGTTTGACACATGGAACATGGTAATGTTACACATAGAGATGAATTCTGTGATCTGGTAGCTGGAACGACTTACTCCCCGAAACTGCACAAAGGATTTAGTAATCATTGTCATTTTGGGAAAAAATACTGGGAACTGTAAAAGGAAGATATTCAATATTCCGATTGGCCATTGGAGTCCGACACTTTCAAATCACATAGACCAAGAACTCGCCACACTTCTCCTATTTGGCCTAGAATATCCAAATCGGTGGTACCTAGCACCACTATTTATTAAGTCGAGCCCCGCCAGTATTATTATGTCCAACCCATATTGTATCTTTTTTTTTTGGTAAGCGAGTCGCCTTCAACTAACAAAGAACATTTTCACCCATCTAATCTCCAAATACAGAAAAAGCATAGAATCCTTTGGCGCACAGTCAACAGTTTGATGCAGGACCATCTATACTTCATTTGAGAAATATCATAACTGAAGTTTGTTGACGGCTAAGTAATAAGTTAAAACTTTTTTTTTGGTTAAAAATAGCAAATCTCTTCAGCAACTCAGAGGAAGCAAATCCAGCTTTACAAGGTGTCCAACCAAAAGGAAACGAGCCTGAGCATTATAACAAACAGGTTGTGGACACAAGTGTGTTTGATAATTTTCACGCACCACCTTAGTTATCACACAAACTCAATTACGATCACCCATGAACAAGTTTCTGCCGTAACGCATATTTGACTTCACAAAAGAAAATAACGTGGGAAAAGAACGATTACCTTGATATCTAGGGAGAGCTTCTTGTGGGGCACGGCAAAGCGACGGCCTGAGTGATGATCCATAATTAACTACGTACCGCGCACTAACACACGCATACAGGGGAGAGGTCGGGGGAGGGAATCAGGGAACCGAGGAACGTTGATGGTAGGTTACGTGGTCGGTAAAGCGGATATGTTTATAGCAAGATGTGCGGTGTCAGATGTGATTGGTAGGTTGTTGGAACTTATTTTGTTGGCAGGTGATCACACCGTACTCACAGCCAATTGTAGCTGTGAGTAGTTGTGGGACTGAATCCGACTATCGGAGGGAATGGGACCTGCTCGTAATACAGGGGCGCCTCACATGCACAGTGCATTGGAAATATCTCCTGCGAATAATAACTTATAAGTATGTGAGATGTTTCCAAGATATAGTGCAATAGTCATTGCAGCCATACATCGGGAACATCTTGCAATGGAGAGCAAGGGAGATGCTCTTATATTAGAATGTGTTGGAATGGGTTTTGTTGGGAGGATAACCCAGCTCAGTTTTTTGCTAGCAACAAGTCTAGTCTCTATTGAGTTCAAATTTGGTCCCAAACACATTGTCCCAATAACCATTACAATTGTACATCAAGAACATCTGGCTGCAACAACTGTGTGTAATGGTTGCAATGGCCATTGGGACCGGACCTGAATTCAATTCTTTCATTTATTTTCATCAAACATCAATGCATCTACAAGTAGGGTTGTCAATGAATCAGGGCGGAGTCAAGACATGGCAGAAATAACCACTCTTTTAATACTTTTTATTAAAAAATATGATGCCACTTACGTATAAATAAAATCCTAAATCTTGAATATCAACCATTCAAATCGGGGTCTATTATCATCCATTTGAAGCCCTAACCCAATAATAAAGTCTTCTTTCATGTTTGCATCAATACCCCATGCACATAATAGAAGATGTAAGATGTGATGTGACCATATCAAATTAAATCATTTGTGGTATTGCCATAACAAATTAAATCACCTGTGATGTGTCTAAATCACTGTTATGCCAAAAGTCAAACCATTTTTGTGATGTTTAGCATGGAGTCATAACATCATAATAGGAAGTAAAATCAATAGGCAAAATAAAATATAAATTATTAATTTTAATAGTTATTATTTGATTATCATAATTAATAATTATAATAAGAAAAAAATACTTATATTGTTCTGTACCATAAATTAATCATTCAATTTATAATGGACCATCCGTTCTGCCTACCTTATTGAACATTAAAAACTTTTTTTAATGGAATTTATGCCAAAAGAGTATATTAGTAAGGGGTAGAAAAAAATAAAAACAGAAAAAAAAAACTCTGCTTGAACAATCTTATTACATTTAATGGAACAAAGGAAGATTTTACAAACATTGACTAGTGGAGAGAGAGAGAATAGTCTTATTGGCGAGAGCTATAATGAATTTTATTAGAAACAATTAAGACCTAAATGAATTTTATTAGAAACAATTAAGATGAGAGAGGGTTTTTCCTGTAGAGCTGGAAATGGTTTGAGTGAGTTCCCAGGTAGCGAATCAAAAACTCGTGCAATGAAGCAATGAGCTGGTGAGCAAAGCATAAAGTATTTAAGCTAATTAAAGGTGATTTTTGAAACTTGGGCTCAGTTTGGGAGGAGTACAAATACAAATATGTACAATACAAATCTATACAAAATATAAGTTTTACACTCTACATATTTATATTTCTACTCCTTCCAAATGGAGCCTTGTACGTATATTAGGGCAGCCCCCTAATTGAATGTGTAGAGTTCACATCGTTTGTCCCCTAGGACAGTTTTCTGTCCCATCCAATTAAAACCGAACACATCACTTTCCTTCCCTCTTACATTACCAATGGACGAGTCTAGACCTAACAGCATTGTACTCCAAAAAAATATGAATTCAATTAATTAACCTTCCCGCTCCTTTCTCTTTTCTCGTTCCCTATCTTTCTCTTCTCCTCCCTCTCACCCATCCCTACACATTACACAACACCAAACCTGTGAAAATATTATGGAAGGAAGCAACTTGAAGAGGTGACCGGGTGGAGATCTTGAGCTTCAAGAAAAAACCATCCAGTGGAATATAACCTGTGAAAAATAATTTAGACCTAAAATTTATTTATGGGAATTTCATGCAGTGGATTTAGACTCCAAGAGAAAGAGAAAAAAAGATTTATTTAGGAAATAAAAAAGCAGAGAACCATGAACTCCATACCATAATTTCTTATTTCATTTTTTTTTAGATTGAGAAGTTCATCTAGCTGATGCCAAATATAGAAGGGCAAGGAAGAAGAGTAACATAGAGAAGAAACAAATAGAACATCACCATTCAAGCTTTTAAATCTAGGTTCTATGATTATATATTCATCAACCTAAATGATAAAAAAAATCTCAAGCTTCAAATCCAGACTTGTGGTGGCCAAGAGTAGGTGCTCAAGGAGCTTCACTCGTCAGTGAAAATCCTTGACGGAGAAGAATGTTTTCTCCTCCCTCGACATCATTTCTCCTTTCTCAAAAAGCAATGAAACTCTAGTGTCATCGAAGGTCGTATCATCCAAGAAGAACAACCATTCTTTCTAGTTTTGGTGAGACCCGCTCCTGACTTCATCAGCATCGATGATGAGTTATTTTTGACATAGAGAAGGGTAATGCCATCACACCCTTTTCCTCTCAGAATGGTTGCTTAGTCTTTCAAGAACATGCCATTAAAGCTCTCATGAAGATCAAGAAAAATATCAACAGAGAGTGGCGGTTCTAGATGTGTTTTTGATGGTGGTTAGGGGTGGATTCGAGTTGAGCCGAGTCGAATACTCGCCAAGGTAGTACAAGTCTCGAGCTCTAGCTCAAGCTTGGTTCAAGCTAGAACCTTGAACTTAAGCTCAGCTCGAGTCAAACGCTCGTAAGCTCTAGCTCGGCTCGGTTCGAGCTCAACTTGAGAAAAATGTTTTATAAAAATAAAAAATTATATATAAAAAATATTTTTATTTAATATTTAAAAAAATTAAGAATTATAATAATTAGTTATTATTATATATAAAAATAAAAATATTATGTATAATATTTTTGTTATATATTATTTTCTATAATAATAATAATAATAATAATAATAATAATAATAATAATATTATTATTATTATTATTATTATTATTATTATTATTATTATTATTATTATTATTGTTATTATGTGTAGCTATTCGAGTCGGCTCGCGAGCCTCACGAGTCGAGCTCTATTAGGCTCGAGCTCGACTTGATTAATAAACAAGTCTATAAATTGGGCTCGAACTCTGCTCAAAGCTCGATTGAAACCAAGCTAAGCCGATCTTTTCACGAGCCAAGCTCAAATAACTCATAAAGAGCTTGGCTCATGGCTACCCCTAATAGTATTGTTGTATGGGTGGTGGATGGTGATGCACAATCCGACCGATCTTAGCTGTCAACGATCTTGCCTCTGAACTGAGTGGCAGGGGACCTGAAACGGAAGGAGTGAAGAAGCTCCGGGGAGGACCCGTCGTAAGGGCTCCGAAGCTCAAGTTAGAGTCTTTCAAAGGCAAGATAAGCCAGATAGCGCAAAAGTTAGCATACCTTGTTCTTGGGGGGTAGGAGC